TGGCCCTTCAGGATAGGATACCAGCTCCCCATATTTGTTGGCTTCTGTATAATGTTCATCTCTACTATCAGTAAGTTCAAGCAAACAAATGTTCACGATGAGAAGCAGCACTTTTGCATCATGTCTGATGATGTTTGTGTTGTTCTCCTGCTGTGAAGTGTTTGCCTTCTCATCGAGCTACGCTCTGCTGTTTGTGGCCAGATCGCTTCAAGGCGTGGGCTCGTCCTGCTCATCTGTGGCGGGTAAATATTCACTGTTCTGTACATGTGAATGCATTAACTTTCATTCATTGTGTAGAGCCCCTCTATTTAAGATCATCGTCCCATTATGGATTTATAGGAAACTGTCTGTTTGAAGGCCTGAAGCATTTCTGCAACATCTCCTTGTTTGGGTGTGAGATCATCATTGACTTGATAATAAACTAGATTAAACTGGAAGATGACATAAAACAAATGATGAAGTTATAATCTGATGTGCGCTCAGCGCTCCAACAACTCTAGTTTCATTTGTTTTTGTGTTTCTATTGTGAGTCCTGCAGTTTCACTGAGCAGCTGTTGTTTCCTGCTCTTACAGAGCAACAGTACAATGGCCTGTGTGTTGCGTGTCGCACACATTGGCCTGCAGCGCTCCTGCTGAAACAAACACGCTCTGATCTTTTTCTGCCTGTTCTGAATTTCCATCGCCTGATCCATACAACTGTGTGTTTTTCAGGGATGGGAATGCTCGCCAGTGTGTACACGGATGATGAGGAGAGAGGTCATGCCATTGGCATTGCCTTGGGAGGTTTGGCATTAGGAGTGCTAGGTATGTGTGTGTAGCTTTTCAGTTACTCTGTAAAGACGACCAAATCTGAAATATTCACTGGATCTTTACATAAAACTCCAAATAAATGACAGCACAATAAAAACACATATAAAGTCTAAGCATTATGTGCTGCAGCTTCTACTGATGCATAAATAATTGATGACAACAGAGAAGCTGTCATTTCTACACAGGAAATAAAGAAATAAGCAGACACAGCCTGAGCTTTGTGGATTTGTCCATTACTCACCATTCAGCCTTCTCTTCACAGTTGGACCCCCCTTTGGCAGTGTGATGTATGAGTTTGTTGGGAAAACAGCTCCTTTCCTTATTTTGGCATTCCTGGCTCTGTTTGATGGAGGTACAGTTGTGTTGCTTCTTTGTATCCAAACTGAGTCGTGCCTGCTGATCTCTGACAGAGATTTACATCAATCCACTGTCTTCACAGCTCTGCAGCTTTTTATTCTTCAGCCCACCAAGGTGACACCAGAGGTGAGTGTCCCTACTTTGATAACTCATTTCCTGTAAATGATCTGCCTTCATTAAGATGACCTTTACAGCTGCAGAACATGCTAAAGACTATTTCGGTAAATACTGAGTGTGAGAACAGCTGCGAGACACACAACATAACACCTGCTCCAGCCTGTGGACATGCATGTTCAGACTGTGTGCGTACACACAGGGCCAATCAGAATACGTTATTTTAATTATATTTATGAAACCTTCTTTTACTGTAAAAAATGTCCAGGAAACTCATGTCCACTTCCACCTTTACCCACGAATGGATGGTAACGATCTCTTATGTCATCATATGTCTATAAAATTAGTTAATTATTATTAAAGTTTTTCCTGATGACAAAAAAGAAAACACAAAAGAAATGCAGTT